TCACAAAAATATTAATAGTCAAACGAGACACACGTATACACATATCATTCACTCTAAAGGCTTTAAATATATTGAATTGATGAGTGATATAGTGGTCCAAATCAAGCTAGTAAAGTAAGGTACGGCGGCTATATACATTGTCATGTATGAATAATTAGCATTGATCATGAATTAATTAGTGCACTAATAATACTTGTAGATGTAGAAAATGAACACATTGTGTTTGTACTGCCGACCATCAACCTTATCTTTCTGCTTGGGAGAAAAAGCTTGGTAATAATTGAAGTTTTGGTCAATTCTCCTTCAAAGGTTCTTGAATTTCTGACAGTGGCTAAAGTTCAAAAAAGAAAAATCATGCAAATCTTCTTAATAGGCCCCCTTAGGTTTGAAACTATAGCACCTAATTGATTGAGATTCCCTTTGTCTGCAACTGCAACCTAAGGGCCAGTGATGTTGGATTACAAAAAGAAAAAGAAAAGCCAATACGCTTTTAAATCTAACATCACTCACATTTCTGACAGTGGCTAAAGTTTCAAAAAGAAAAAGGAAAAAATCATGCAAATCTTGTTACTAATCCAACATCCTCAGATGTCCTTCACTTTGCCTAGTGCTTCTTTCACAACCAAAATCTTGGAAGCTCAGATACGCCGTCGGTGGTAGATTATTTTTCCATTTTTAAAGTTAAGAAAGGTTAATTATATATAGCTTAGGCAATCAGGTGAAACAAATTATTGAGGGAAAAATATCATGTTCACGTGGTGTGGGGCCAAAGGGCTGGCTGAAATAATCAAACCATGGCTTAACCTTTGTTTGTCAACGCATGCAGAATATATAAAGTTTGTCTGCAAAGTTTTCTAAAGAGTTTTTGTTGTCATGTGGGCAAGAAGAGTAGAGTTTCTTTGACCAAAACTGTCAATCTCATAGCATTTGCATACTTTCTTTCTATATACCGGTACCTTTACTTGACCAAAATGGACTCCTATTGTTTGCTCTTAAACCCGGTGCCAATTTGTTAACAGAATATAGTTCAATGGAAGAGGACTACATTGACTTGCAAATCAAAGGTCTTAAATTCGAATTTTCACGGCATCATAGTTGTGTGTCCATCCATATTGTAACACGTATACGAATATACATTTGTCCTAATTTTCTATTAAACATAATTATTAATTATTAAAATGTGAAAGTTGATATGCAAGGGATTAAAATTTGTTTTGTGGCGAAGCACTTCTCCACGTCACTTGGTCAAGTTCGACAAGTATACCCCAACAGACAAAACTAAAACCATAAAGCATTATTTTTGAAAGAAGATCCTCCTCGATAGCTTATAATTCTATCATTTCAGATGTTGACATGCAGGTATGTCCACGTTCAGTGATATAAATAATTTAAACATATATTTCCTTATATACCCCTGGCCCTGTTCTTCTCCTATATAAATGTACTAGAATTACAGTGAGCTCATTCATCAATAAAGCAATGGCCGCTCACTTTGAGAAATGCCTTACAGAAACAGATACAGTGAGCAGATTTGCCCTTCCGATTTCCTGGCTTACGGTGCTGCCTCCAATTGAACAAGGAAGCCATGAGGTCAATTTTCAGGTTACAGACGGGTTCGAGTTTTTTTGGGAATTTTGCTGCTCCATTCGAAGGGTGGGACGGTACCGGAAGCCGGTTCTTCAGTCTGAGGGATGGCTCAAGTTCGTCAACTACAAAGGGCTAAAAGTTGGTGACAAGATCGTTCTTGATACAGAGGCCAACGATTTCAGAGGAACCAAATTCAGAATTAGAGCGCTAAAGTTGAACAAAGAGTGTGATCAGTGGCTTGATGTTTAGCTACTTGTATGAATTCATGTAAAGTTCTTCTAAGTTTTCTGTTTTAATTAATTACTTAATTATGATCTCTTCAAGTGTTCTTTCTGGCCTTTTCTTTATGGTATCCTTCAGTTTGAAATTAAGCTCTTATTATAAAGGGGGTGAACCTTTCTTTGCCGTCATTAATTAATAATTAACAGTTAATTGACAAATATAAATTTAAAAGTAAACCTTTCTTTGCCACTTTTGCAATTTGTGATAGGAGAAAGATGAGTAAAATTGAATGCAGAGAGGCAAGAAGCTTAATTTCCTCTAAATTCTAACCCAAAGAAAATTCAACCACAAAAATGTATATGTCATGTGGGCCCTCAGATTTGAAATTATGCGTCTTAAATCTAAATTCTTTTCTCACCTTTCACATTATCTTCATACATCCATAGCTTAGTGATATCAATTAGTGGTAGTGCTGGCTAGCTATGGTGGTGTAATTAGTTTATTATTATTATTATTATTATCATATAAGGAGTTACTAAATATTATTTTTATCTTCTTCCAGTTCAGATTATTTTTATTATTATAATGACAATGACCTAACGAGTATGATGACTAGATAAGTTTATCTATTTGACCACTTTCCCTTCTTTTTCTTCTTTATCATTTTCCTTTGACTTTTATACAACTTTTTCTTTTTCTTTTTCATGTGTTGCATTTTTGTGGTGGTCATCTCAGCGAAAGGTTTGACCACTTGCATTTTTGTTTTTACTATGTACGGGGTTTGTATAGCTTAAGTAATTAAAAATATTTATTTTTATATTCGAGGTTGTAGGTTTAATTTTCTCCTTTTTTAATATCATTTTTATTAATAAATAAATAAAAAGAAGTTCTTATCATAGATTCTAACATTTGCAAATTCTATAAGTTCTCTGGAAAACCCGCATAGATTGAGTGTGACAATAAACAATTTTAATTTTGATTGTCAATGTCATATATATATATATATATATATATATATATATATATATATATATATATGGAAATGCTACCGCTATAGACACTCACATAAAGACTCACATGAAGACAAACTTTGAACAAGAAAGTGCTCGCTTCACCAAACTTTGGACCCGACAAATATTTGATTTATTGCATATTAAAATCTAAAATAGAAAAAAGCCTTTTAATAATCCAACATCCTTTTCAGTCTTTTTCGAAGCTTTGATTCCTAAAATGCTCCTCCTCCTCGTAAAACGTGCTGGTGGTGGTTGACAACAACCTTGGTCCCATATTAATTTAATACTTGAGAGGGATACCACACGATCCATGAAACTTATGTTTAATATTTTGTTTAATGATATAATTACATTCTTCACAAATCAAATTAAGATAGTTGAAGAGAAATGCGGTTGGTTGCAAAACTGAGCTCAGCATTAAAGATATATTCTGAGAGAAAGATTACTGGTTATCAAAAAAAAAAATTTAAAATTTTGAGGAATTTTTTTATATACAAGCAATTTTGAAAGAGAGATAAATCAAACCTAAAACCTCGAGTGTATGAATAATTGCTCTTAACTATTTCAGTTATAAGCTGCTTACTTAACTACTTAGGGATTACTTAGAGGTGTTAGGCAGAAAGTAGAATAATAAATAAAAACAAAATAAAACAAAAAAGACCATCAACATGCGAAACCTGCAAAAAAAAAGACCATCAACATGTGACGTGGGCCTAAGCGTCAACATCTACGAGCATATCACTCCACTTTAATTTAGTCAGTCGATGTTAAGTTGATAACATCAATTATCCAACTGGATGCTTGTCATTAAAATATAAATTAATTAATGTTAAAAAAAATTAAATATTAAGTGATTTAATTTATTTTAAATTAATCTAAGTTATATAGGAAAATAACTCGAATTTAAGTGTAAAGAGACGAACTCGCTATGCTAAAAAAATTGCAGTGAGCATATATAATATCTATCTGCCAAGTTTGGCTTATCTCTTTGGAGAGTATGGACCATGGATCTTTAAGGTGGACTTGTTACATTTATGACTTTTGAATTCCAATATAACATTGTCTTTTGCCAAATATTCTTGATATTAAGCAGCAGCATACACATTTTGGACGCAAGGGAATTAAATTAATGTCAAAGTCAATCAACAATTATTATAACCAGATACATAGGCGAGGCAGGTAAGTTAGAGCATCTTGAAAGGTTTTGATTTTAGAAATTCAACACAGGTCCCATTCTTGCCTTTCATTTTCAATCTGGAATTCCTGACCGAATGCAAGTATTCACAGAGAGGAGGGTTGCTTTATGTCGGAGTTTGACTTCACTTTGCCTAATGGTTCCTTTTCTTTCTCAATCTTTCTCCAATAACTCATTCTTCACAACCAAAGATGTTAAATCTTTCTGGTAGATTTTAACATGAGGTTTAAAAAGCTGTACAACTTAATTGAGTGAAGGCTTTCTCCAAGTTTGTTTGTAAAAGTGTTGCGGGTAGTCAAAGTGTGTTTGATATAACAGTGACGGACGCAGAATTTCTTACAATGATTTAGACCTGTTAATTACCAAGCTTAAATAAAACGAAATAACATTATATGATGAACTCATGATGCTATATATGGAAATAAAAGCTTTTCCATTTATATAAAGAAACGTAAACAAAATACAAAGCCCATACAACATAGATTAACTTATTAATCCAAAACATAAACATACAACTACATAACAATCACTCATAACTTGACAGAAACAGAAACTTATAGAACTATATATAAGAGGATTGACATACATATACATATATATGTCAAATCTCACTTAATAATTGTTTATATGACATCAAATATCAACCCAGTGACCGTGGCTGTTCAGCCTTTGTGCTCTAACTTGAAATATGGTTTCTCTGAAATGATCTACCTGAGGACGAAATATAATCTTGTCACCAACTTTGAGCCCCTTGTGATTGGCAAACCTGAGCCAACCCTCGGCCTGAAGCACCGGCTTCCGGTAACCACCATTTCGGATGGAGCAGCACAATGGAAATTGGAAGCCCTTGTCATCCAGGACCCCGAACTGGACCTCACGGCAGCCCCCTTCAAATCGAGGCATTTCATCAAGCCATCTCACTGGAACCACCAGCTTATGCCCTACATCTGTTTCAGTCAGCTCTTTCTCAAGCTCATGTGCACCTTCCATTCTCTTCTTAATTACTAATTATATTTTGCTTTGTTTCTGCTCTTCTCCAGGATGCTTGGGTTGGGAATTGGGACCCCCTATTTATAGCAAACCAAATTCACCTAGAGTTCTTAATTTTCAGCCAACTACGTACAAAAAGTTTGATGTACCAGTTGCTGGGCTTGTGGGTCCAGATGGACTTTTTGGGATATCCTTTTGAGTTATATATGATCTTTATCAATCTTCCTTGATTCCCTCTCAATCATCTCATTCTCAATCTGTTTTGGTCTTCTAGATTTTTAATCATATATGCTTTTCGTACCTTTGTCTAAGATTTTGGTTTCTTCTTTTTGTTTTTTGTTTTTTAATGTGGTCCATGTTATATCAAAATAGGTGTTAGGATGTGAGCAATCAATTATTGAAATCATATTACTAGAAAACCTGCTTATAATATGCCTCCTAACATGTGGTATGCAAGGCTTGCATTTCAAATGTGCCCCTAAAGTGAGAGGTGTCTCTTGAGCCTAAACATGTTCAGTTAATATTAAGCATCTAACTCAAAATTAATTAAGGTGGTTAAGACACCTGAACACAAACACTTCTTAATTTGGACTAATTAAGGTGGATGTGTAGATCTTAATTAAAGTACTAATTAAGGACCTACGTTTTGACTTTGTGCCTCTAACCAATAACCCTAGCTTATCCAAATGAAACCAAGCATGTACATGGCTGCCTTAACTATCTTGCTTACTAACTTAGTTGGATAATTAAATCATAAATGGCGTCCGACATATAAGATCTTGATTTGTACCATTTAGACAATCTTGTCCTCCGGTGCTGAAGCAATTTTGTTTTATTATTAAAAAAAGCATAGTGGTCCAACTATCTGAAATGAAGCACTAGTTTTGCTATTGTTTTTTGGGAGGACCTTTTCTATTGAGAGGGGTGATAGTATACTAAACTCACACACACTACACGAATGTTAAGACTCAAACCCAGAACCTTGTCCGAAGAAGTAAATACTCCAAATCACTACATTAGTGAGTCGTTTGTTCTATTGTTCGAAACATAATTGATGAATCAACTACTTGACTGGAACCAAGTGAAACAAAATTTAAGAATTAACTTACGATGATTAAACAGTTCATTTGAAGTGGTTCGTTTGGAATCTATGTTGTCATCTATATAGTTCAGTGCGCTTTTGAGGCTGCCGGCTGTCAAGTTTGCATGTGCACTTGAAGAGAAGAAGAAGTATTGTTAGGTCTTTTTCTCATGCCGTATGTACAACGTCCCTGTCCCCACAAAATATCTCCCTGGTCGGCATGAGATGGAGATATATAAAGAAAGAGATAACCACCCTCCTATGAGCTTTTTGATTTTTGGTGTCAAGTGTGTGTGAACACCACCAACATAAATGGTATCAACTGAACATTTTTTTACTACATTTTAGGCTCTTTGTAGAAGAAGCAACAATTAAGATATTCCGTAATTGGTCGAAAAGAGCGAAACAGTGCTATCCTCGTTTAACATTGCATGTCTAGAGACTCACTTTAGGATGCTTCCAAAGTATGCATTAGGCCCCACAATCCAATCATCATCTTTCTAAGATGAAGGGTCCGAGTGAAGTTAGTAAAGTACGGCAGCTATATACATTGTCATATGTATGAATAAGCATTGATCATACATTAATTAGTGCACCAACACATTTGAGTTTGTCTTCTTTCAGCTGTTTTCTTTTCTGTCTTCGTTTAAATAAATCTAAATGGTTTTGCCCTGCCGACCATCATCAACCTATCCTTCTGCTTGGGAGAAAAAGCTAGCTAATAATTGAAGTTTTGGTCAATTCTTTTTCATAGTTTCTAGAATTCCAGCAACCACTGGAATTGAAGCTATCCATTATATATTATCCACAGATGCCAATAACTGAAAATTTAATCCTTGTCATTTTAATTTAATGAAAAAAATGTTATTTTAATTTATTAAGTCTTGAAAATAATACAGCCGAAAGTTTGGAAGAAAGCAGCGACAGGTGGCCGGAGGTTATATGGGACCCACACAATCTTCATGGCAGTTTGCACGGTGCACCCCATAAAATGTCTAATCACTGCAGAAAGATCATGCTGAAAATGATGAGGACTGAGGTGTCAGCAGTGCACCCACCACTCACTACCTCACTCCTTACTTAGCTATTTGCTCAATATCTTTTTATTTTTGTTTATTTGGCTCAATTTTCTCAGGTAAGTTAGAGCATCTTGAAAAGTTTTGATTTTAGAAATTCAACGTACAGGTCTCATTTTTGCCTTTTTTTTCAATCTGGAATTCCTGAATGAGAGGAGGGTTGCTTTATGTCGGAGTTTGACTTCACTTTGCCTAACGGTTCCTTTTCTTTCTCAATCTTTCTCCAATAATTCATTCTTCACAACCAAAGATGTTAAACATAATACAAACCCCATACAACATAGATTAACTTATTAATCCAAAACATAAACATACAACTAGCCGTCATGATCATAAAGTATTAATTAATTAACAGTTAATTGACAAATAAAAATTTAAATTATTTTCTTGCCTTTCCCAAAGAAGCTTATTTCCTCTAAATTCTAACCCAAAGAAAATTCAACCATAAAAATGTATATGTCATACGTGGGGTCCTCAGGTTTGAAATTATGAGTTTTAAATATAAATTATTTTCTTGCCTTTCCCATTATCTTCTATAGCTTTAGTGATATCTGGCAGTAATAAAGGTGTAGTTTATTATTTAATAGTTGTAGTATTTAATTTACTATTTTAATTATTATCATCATATAAGGAGCAACTAAATATTATTTTTATCTTCTTCTAGGTACGATTATTAGTTAATGACAATGACCTAACGTGTATCTATTTGACTACTTGCCCTTCTTCTTCTTCTTCTTCTTCTTCTTCTTCACCATCTTCTTTGACGTGTACTAGTTTTTCTTTTCTTTTCATGTACATGTTAAATTTTTGTGGTGGTCATCTCAGGGTTGCCCACTTGGTAGCTCAAGTGATTAAGAGCATTTTCCTTGCATTCGAGATCTTAGGTTCGATTCCCTCCTCTCACAATATCGCTTGTATGAAAAAAAAATTATTCTTATTATAGATTCCAACATTTGCAAATTCTATAACGTTCACATATTATATTCTCATGAAAAACCCCATAGATTGAGTGTTATGATAAACAATTTTAACCGTATAAAATAATAATTTTAATTTTAATTGTCATTGTCATTGTCATCGTTTTCAGTCTTATTCAAAAAATATTCCTCCTCGTAAAACGTGCTTAGTTCATGGTGGTGGTCGACAAACTTGGTTCCCTATTAATTTAATACTTGAGAGGGACACCACACGATCAAATTGAGATAGTTGAAGAGAAATGTGGTCCATATCTAGACATAATTCTTATGGTAGATTTGAACATTTTGCAAAACTGATCACTCAGCTCAGCACTACTGTTGATGATGATTTTTTAAACATATACAAGCGATGTTGAAATCTCGGTGCATGAATAAATGCTTTTAATTATTTAAGTTAGAAATTGATTAACTTTTGAGAGATTAATTAGAGGTGAAATGCAGAAAGTAGAATGATCAACAGGAAGAAAACACCAAAAGCAACCATCAACAGGTGACGTGGGCCTAAGCGTTGAAATAATAATCAGAACCATGTTGAATAATGATGATCTCCAAAGGTTTTTTGTCATATATGACAAATCTTAATCTTAATCTTAATCACATTCATAATCTTAATCTCTCTCTACAAATCTTATGACTTAGGAGAGAAACACCGAATTTGCCTTCCTTTTCACCTCATCTTATGTCCTCCCAACTGGTTTTACTGACATTTACTTTCATTTGATAATTTTCTTTCTTTCAAAATCGTTTTTCTTATTTTTAGGTTTGATCTGATTTCGGAGGTTCAGCAATATCGATCTTTATCGAGTAATATAAAGCACCATCAAATTCAAATTGATTGAGGGTTTAACAACAAGACAAAGCCTAATGATCAACTCATGATCCAATATCAAATTCAGTACCAACCAATTTGAATACAAGACAAAGCTATATATATGGAAGAGAAAAAAAAAAAAAAAAAAAAGCTTTTACATTATGACCTCATAGTCGAGGACCAACGACTAATTAAAGCATAGATTAAACATACTGCAAACCCCATACAAAACATAGATTAATCAAAATAGAAACACATAGAATACAACTATATATAAGTGGATTGACATATATACATTTAAATATATATGTCAAATCTCACTTAATATAATTGTTCATAGCACATCATATATCGACCCAGTGACCGTGGATGTTCTTCCTTTGTGCTCTAACTTGAAATATGGCGTCTCTGAAATTATCTACCTGTGGACGAAAAATAATCTTGTCACCAACTTTGAGCCCCTTGTAATTGACAAACCTGAGCCAACCCTCAGCCTGAATCACCGGCTTCGGGTAACGGCCATTTCGGATGGAGCAGCACAACTGAAAATGGAAGCCCTTGTCGTCCAGGACCCCGAACTGGACCTCACGACAGTCCCCTACAAATGGAGGCATTTCCTTCAGCCATCGCGCTTTAACCACCAGCTTACTCCCTACATCTGTTTCAGTCAGCTCTTTCTCAAGCTCATGTGCACCTTCCATTCTCTTCTTAATTAATTATCTACTAATTGTATTTGCTTTGCTTCTGCTTCTGAATGCATGGGAGAGTATTCTATTTATAGGCCAAATTCACCTAGAGTACGTACAAAATGTTTACAGTACCAGTTACTGTTGCTGTCTTTGTGGGTCCAGCCAGATAGACTTTTTGGGATATCCTTATGAATTATATATGATCTTTATCAATTCCTTGATTCCCTGCCAATCAACTCATTCTCAATCTTTTTGTCTAAGCTTTTGGTTTCTTCCTTTTGTTTTTGTTTTTAATGTGGTCCATGTTATATGAAAGTAGGAGTTAGGCTGAGAGCAATCAATTATTGAAATCATATTACTAGGGAATCAGCCAATCTCCTCTTAACAACGTGTGATATGCAAGGCTTGCATTT